ATATGGGCACCTCAAGAATGGTGGAGTTTTAAGATTCTGAATCAAGGATACTATTCCAAATTTCAAAAGTGGTTCTATAAAAGCATCACTTTCAAAAGACTTTTTTGGTGAGATCGAGTTTTTAAATTCACACACGAGATTTTTTTTTTAATTAAAATCCTGGGAAAGAGATACTATAATAATAAGCCATGTCAAAGTTGACAACTATGCTATTTGAGTGTAATCAAACATAAAGTCTCGGCCTTTTGCTAGTCTTTGATTACTTTTTTTTTTTAACACCAGATTTACAATGATCATTTCAGTTTGCAGATAAGTAATATCTACCTAACTATTTATATCCGATGGACATTTACTCAAAAGAGAAAAACTATCAGGATGCTTGCTTCAGTACATCTTCTATGTGCTCAAAAATGCTGGGGTCCTCAATGGTGGGAGTGATCTGGAAAGACATTTAGAACCACATGAACATCCGTCTTCAATCTCTTCCCCAATCTTTACATGGTTTGGGGCTAGGTTATATTCCCGATTTCTTATAATGCTCAAGTGCAAATGTCCAAAAATAGGATGCTTAGAACTTATTATTTTAAAATATTCTAAGAATCTGCTAGAGTTATAAAATGAACAACCGTACAACTAGAAACACCATCGGTATTAGATGATGCTTTCTCTAGAATCCCTTTTACGTAATTTCTATGTGGCTCTATAGAAAGAGCATCTTTTCTTGACATCTTCTCATACAATTACCCTTTCCTGTTGCATTGTCTCTCGGTACATCTCAATGGTAAAATATGCCTATCTATGAATATGTATAATGTGCACCCAAATCAAAATTAAACATACTGAACAATCCATCTAAGTTTCCTAAAATGATTTGTCCTCCAAAGGAAAGAGCCATTTAGTATATTTGAGTTTAAACACTATTGGCTTTGTTACCAGCAACAGTAATAGTTTTACACGCTGGCTCCTGTGATCAAACTATATGATCTTTAGCTGAATTTCTTTCCAAATCTCTCATGCCTTTCTGTGCTGCTCACTTGTTTCAAAGAAAATCTCTCCTCTCCCTTGAACAATGACAATTAATATTGTATGTCTATAGGGCTCCAATTCAGGTTTGAGAACCATTTCTAAGAGGTGGTCTCACTGTGGACTGAAGCCAATGCAGGGAGGAAAGCCACGAACACTCCCCCGCGTTAGACATCCTTGGTCATTACCTTATAGGGCTTCCCATTGACAAGGGCAGAGAGAGCGGACCGGGGGATTTTGCCCGATCGCGTTTTGGGTAACTGTTTGACAAAAACTGCATTCCGAAAGGCAGCCACGGGGCCAATACTGTTTCTCACGTGTTTCACAATGTCTTCCAAAATCTGGCCCTCCGTTGTAGCAATATCTAGGGAAAGAATGAACCTTAGTTAATTGTGCAGGACGCAGAAAGCCAGAGGAGAGGAAGCCCTCTTACCTTTCCTTAGGACGCAGAGAGCTAACGGGACATGGCCTTTCAGAGGGTCCTCTTTTCCGACAACTGCGCAGTCCGCCACGGTGCCATGAGAAAGGACAGACTGTGACAAACGCACGCATGCAAAAGAAATAGATGTTAATATATGTAGCTACCTAGACAGCTGTATTATCATTTAATGTGCGT